CTTTTAGGATTTACTCTCAGCAACTTTCAAATATACCATACAGCAGTGTTAACTACAGTCATTGTGTTGTACATTACATTATGCCTAAGTTCTATTTACACAGGAGCCTGAGTGTTAAACATATTGCTCCTCTTCTCAAAAGCTTCCAGAGGTTCCCAGTTTCTCCAAGGCCAGAGACCTTACAATGGCCTAGTCTGTCATCTCCTTTCAAGTCATGGCTCAAATGACACTTCCTACCCTGATCATCTCGGTTAAAACTGGAAGATCCTTCCCCCTCGACAATCCTAATCTCTACCCTGCTCTATTATTTCCCATAGCACTTGTCACATTCTAACAGATCATATAATCTGCTTATTTATTTTGTTTATTACCTGACTTATGTAATCTAGAAGAGGGCAAGGATTTTGATATGTTTTGGTCACTGATAGATCCCCAGTGCTTAGAACAGGACTTGGCACATAGTGGGCACTCATATTTATGGCATGAATAAGTAAGTTAGTATAGTAGATTGCAAATGAACAATTTATGGAATTAAGTAGGAGTGCAAAAATGCAACAATGTGAAGATCATTTAATATGTTAATCCGTGTCATAACGTGGTAGAGTGGAAAGAACATGGGGTGAGAGGCAGCACAGCAGGGAAGAAGGCCTGACTGCCATGGCCTATCCTCACAGCCTTCCTGATTTTTGCTGCTTTTCCTTCTCCTCTTGTGTCCTACAGCACACCCCTACTAAATTATCAGCACTTCTCTAAAGGTCTGGAAAGCACTGCCTGGAAAGCACTGCCCTGTGGCTGTCCTTTATTCTCTTCTTTGTCCTTCTCCTTCCTCCCTTTGTACTGAACTTAGAGATCATTGCCTCTGAGAAGCCTTGCTTGAACCTCCCAGATTACATCCCCCTCTTTGTGCTCACTCACACAGCACCCCATGTTGTCTAAACCTGTCACAATGTGTTGGGGACTCTGAGACCAAACCTGAATGTTTCTGAACCCTTGTTGGCTGGCTGCAGGCGCAAAGCACTTATTCTAACAACTGCCAGCAGAGAATTGCTTGCTAGGGCTTTAAGGATGGAGGTGAAATATGAAGCAGCATTTGGTTCCAGGAAGAATCACATTGTTGAATCCTCTTGGTCATATAGATATGTCAAGTTATCAATTCATTTTCCTTGAGGTAGCTCCCCACATTGGTGAAATGACACAAATGTAATAACACGAATGTAAATACTTCAGACACACTCTGTTTCCTGGGGGGAGTGCCCTTTGAAAGGTTTTTTGTTTGTTTTTGCACCCACATCCCTTTTGGATGTTTAAGGATTTGGTATTCTCCTAGCTGGGCCAAGGGGATGTGTTTGGGGACTCATGAGATTCAGAAAGAGAGGGGATGGGAGAAGCAATTGATATGCTTAGGAAAGGGTTCCCACCAAATGACTACAGATCTGAACTAGAGATGGCCACAGCAGACATCCCTGTGTAGGGATCTCTAAAAGCCATGACCTGTTTAAAGAAATTGAAGTTTCCTTGTCATAGCTTTAGGTTTTTGCTTTGCTAGACAAGTGGAGGGAGAGTCAAGTTTGTGAGTCGGGAAGTACAGAGAGAGCTAGAGAAATGTGGAGAGGTGGTGACAGACCAGAAGGCCAGAGGTAATAGGAGAGAAGCTATGAGGAGCCATTCCAAGGGACAGGTGACCAGCAATAACCAAGATGCGTAAGCATTAGCTAGAATCCTCTAACATTCTTGAAGACACCGATTTCCTATTTGTCATGCCCCATAAAGGTTCAAGGTATTCTATTTGGCTTTTAAAACAATGAACTTGGAAGGCTGGAAAATTTGGGGACCCTCAGATTGCATTTTGAAGGCTCCATCTGTGATAGGGACTAGGAAATAATGCTTAGGACAACAGCCACCATCCTGTTAGAATGTGTCAGTGTACAGGTCTTGGTGTGGACCTGCAGAAGTTGGTACTGATTTGAGGGATACTGGTGGACCCTGAGGGACTGAGATGGACTGGACCCCACAAGATGCCTTAAAAACGCTGAACAGCTATAGAGCAATTGGCAAAACAATTTTCAAGAGGAGAGAGAATGCATATACAGCTTTATCAGAGTTTGCTGAAGATTATATATATATATATATATATATTATTTTTTCCTGAGGAAGATTTGCCCTGAGCTAATATCTGTGCCAATCTTCCTCTATTTTGTATGTGGGTCGCTGCCACGGCATAGCTGCTGGGAGCCGTGTAGGTCAACGCCTGAGAACCGAACCCGGGCCACTGAGGTTGGTGTGCCAACCTTAACCACTAGGCCACGGGCCGGCCCCAAGATAAAACTCTGATTCCCAGAGATTGCAGTGGGGACTAGTTGCATGAAAAGTGATTACCAAGATAATTACTGCAGACTCTGGATTTCTGAAAAGCCTCAACTTCTTTAAAAAAGGGGGGCGGGGAAGGGAGAAGAGAGTATATACAGTATCCCAAATCCTCAGAACCCTGGGTAGGAACTTCCTTCCAACTCCACTCCACTCCCAGTCCCAAGCCTCTAGCAGGTCTCTGGACATCTTGGACTGCTATATTGTGAATTTGAGGACTGTATTCTCAAATACTTAAGCTAGAGGGCTAGGAAAAGACAGCTTTCATTTGCTTTGTGGGGTTCTACCAGTATGAAAGGATGCTCTCAAGGTATTTAGGAGTTCCCATTACTTTCTAGGAATTGGTAGGAAAAGTAATTGAAGACAGGAATTACCTGGAGGAGTTAGTTTATTTAAATGATGTGGTTTTAGTTTGCTTGGTCTTGGAGAAGCACAATGCTTCTTACTGTACTAGACCCTTCTATAAGACTCCTTTTTTTAAAATGAGAGTGAAAGAGGCATCAGTGATTAAAGATAACTTCTTTTTCAAGGGTGGGGCTCTACATAGTAAATATATAGATTGGCGGAAAGACACAGCCTAGTTTCAGAAACAGTAAAGTTTCCCCAAAAAAGTACACTTTGGACAGAATGAAATGTCACGAGACCATGGAATATCAGACAAGGGGGGTAAGCATCACACTGCTCATGACATCACTCATATAGGTATATGTCTGCTACATGGAACACAGACACATTTCAGTTCCTGCTTGAATCAGGAACAGAAGTCTCCCTCTGGACAGGTCAGTACTACATTATGCAATGTATAGCTCAAAGTGTATGTCGGCTAGCTAAAGCACAAAATACAAAATTTAGCGCTTTTAGATGTTCAGGAATAATGTATGAAAACTCAAATGTTTAAAGTTGAATGTATGCCATTTTTAAAGTTTATTTGATAGCTTATAGTTTTTTAAAGCTTGTTTTATAGTTTAAATCGGAAAAAGGAAGCTTATTTCCCTATTTCCAAAAGATTAAGGTGATTCTCTATTTTTTCCCACGAAGTTGTCTACGTCAGCAAAACAGCGCACCGTGTGCTATTTTGGCCTCTTGGGAAATATGACATGTTCAGGTTTGCTAGAAAGAGATAATGGTCGCTTTTAGGCACACAGCTCTGTAAGTTCACCGGGATATTGGTCTAGAGAGAAAATGGCGGCGGGGGGGGTGGGGGTAGGAGAAACTCCTCAGTTTAGGATCAGAAATGGGCAACGGATGACTTAATTTAAGGTTCGTTGTAGAACTACCGGCCTCCAACTGTGTATTTCTGTCATCTACACTTTTCCCACAGAGATTTCACAACAATAAATTTGCAACAGTCCTATATTGTACTTTTATATTCTTAAATCAAGAAAAGGCGATATTTAAAAAGCATTAGCTAGAATTCCATAGCCGATTTGTTAAAAACGAACAACCACTCAAAAGATCACTACCCTCTGAACGTTCGTTCCTGCCATTTATTTTGACGCAAATAGAACAGCGTTTCTAGATCCGGCATTTCTGTGCGATGCAGACATGCCGTTTTCTACGAATTTTCCCACTTCTGGTAACTGTCTCTGCGAAACGTATTGTGCAGTAAGCCAGGTAGAACTATGACGCAATAATCCCCTGCAAGTTGCCTTACAAAAATGATGTCATTTGGCGCAGATGTAGTCATTTTTGTAACGCAGGTAGATATGGCCAAGCTCCCTCCACGTCGGCCCCGATTCCCCCACCCCCACTGTGTGCAAGATGCAAAAAGACATTTTCCGGGCTTCCTAACCCTCAACGTGTCGAGGGTGGGCGCACCGCAGTGGCTCGAGCCCACCGCTCGTGCAGACGAAGAGGGACCGCCGCGAAGGGAACAGCACAGCCCAGCGTTCCCAGCCCCGACGGCGACGCCGCGGGGGCAGGCGCCTGGGGCCCGGGCTGCAGCCCCGGCGCCAGGCCGCCCCCGTGCCTCCGCGGGGCCCGCAGCGCTGCCCGCCAGATTGTGGGGCCCCGCGGGCGTGGGACAGCCCTGCCCCCACCCCGCTCCCACACCCGCTCCCGCTCCCGCGGCGCCGGAAGTGACGCGCGCTGGCTGAAAGATGGCGGCATTGGCGTTCGACCAGGGGGAAGGTAAACACCCTCCGGGCCGCGGCCCGCCCGCGGGCCCCCTCGAGGCGCCGGTGGGGGCCGAGAGCGCCTCCCAGGCCTGCTCGCCAGCTCTCGGCTCCCCACCCCTCGCCCTCCCTACCCGCGTGGCAGCCCTCTGCGTTGCAACGACGGCGCACGGAGCCCCCTACCGGCGGGCCCCGCCTCCCTGGGCGGGCCCCGGGCGGCTCCCGCGGCCCGTAGGGGGCGCGCGGCCCGGAGCGGCCCCTGGCTCGTGGCCCCGTACGCTCCGCCCCTTGCCCGCCCCTTTCCCGCCTTCCTCCACCCCCGGCGTGGGTGATCCTGAGGCTCGGCGCGCTTCGGGGCAGAAGCCCGGAGACGCCGTCGTCGACGCCGCCACTGCCGGCGCTTCTGCCGCTGCCCGCGGCCCCCCGGCCCCTTCCCCCGCCCGCGGCCCCGAGTCGGCCCTCCCGCCGAACCCCGCCGGGCGCCGCGAGGCCCCTGGCGTTGGCAAGGCCGGGCCCAGCCCCGACGCCGCGCCGCCTCGCGCCGAGCCCGACTGTCTCGACTCGCGACTCAGCGCTGTCTTCTTTCCCAGGACTGGTTCCGAGGGGGCCGCAGGCGCGCAGACTCGCCCCCCGCTGGCGCGGCCCGGCCCGGCCCGGGAGCGGCCCGTTGTAGACGTTCGAGGAGCCTGCGAGTGCCGTCCGGCGCCCGACCGCCCACCGCCCGGCCCGCCGGCCGCTTCTTCCTGATGCAGACTGCCGTCCACTAGAGCTGGACAGACCCCCGAGGTGCGTAGCCGCCCCTGGCCCTCCGGCCTGCGGGAGCCCGGGCGCCGTCTGCGGCCCCGCGCTCGGCACGGGTTCGGTAGCCCTTTCTGCACAGCCCGAGTCCAGCATTTGGTAGACGTCGGCACCTAATTTGTCTTTGAGTTTACTTAAATTGTTTGAAATTTAATTTTTTCAAGGAGAGAGAAAAAAAAGGAAGAAGCGTAATTCAGCCATTTTTTGCAGCACACAGCTGCAGGTACCATGATTATTTTCTCTCTAACCCCTTCCTTCCCTTTAAAAATTCTATTTATGCCTGAAATAGAACTGTGCGAAATGCGAGGCTTAAAACGTGGGATCAGAAGGTCTGGGTTCGACTGGGTGACTCTGAGAAAATCGCTTACCGAGCCTCGGTTTCTTATCTATGAAATCGAGTCAGTAATAGCCACATCACAGGGTAGGGAGCACTATATGAGGTCATATATGTAGAAATAATCTATAGCTGTAAAGTGTTGTAAAAATGCAAGGCAATTTTTCAAGTAACCTTTGCCAGAGTGGTTAATGTTGTAGTGGCTAACTGTTGCTGTCTCTTTATTTCTATATTATAAGTATAAGCAATAAGTACCGAATAGCGAAGCGGGGCCGTGAATCGACTAGATATCTAATAGTCACGTTGCTTGGCCTTCTTCCTACGAAATGCTAACTGCTTATTTAAATAACGGTATTCTTTAATTCAAATTTAACGTTACTGTAGTGCTTTGCTTTTCGTTTTTCTAGGCCGCTTCTGCCCTTTTGCTTACTCGGAATATTTATTTAACACCTTACATTTGTTTGGTCTTTTATATTTTCTGAATTGGTATTTGCTTTTGTTAATCTGATTAAATTGTAATTTGGAAAATGCCTTTAAGATATATATCCTAATTTTAATGCCTGTTTTTCATATCTAGGGGACAGGATGCCTGAATATCTCTACTCATTTGAAAATTGCTTTTGAAGAGCTTTTAAATGCATTCAAATTTCTGTAATTCGTACTAGATCCAGAAATGTATAGGAAATGTCAACTTTGTGACACTTAATGTAACATTTCTATCATTTAATTCTCTTTTTTAATCATCACAACACTTAGTAGGTGCTTAGAACCAGTTTTTCAGTGGTAAAGGATGTTAATTTGCACTCTGTTGCTCATTAACTTGGGGGGATGATCGGATAGTAAATATTTGTGGTTTGAAAATTGGACTTATTTGTCAGAATTTATAATATGTATGTGTAACAGATCAGTATGGAATCATTCTTACTTGGCACATCAAAGATGTAGTATAGTTTGGCTTTAAAAAATGGTCCACAAAAAGTGAAAGAGAAGCATTTTTTTGAGTATATTGTTATTTTTAGCTAACAAATGGTTTTCTGAGTTTTTTTCTTAGATGTTGTATTAAATTTATAATCCAATACCAGTTGTCTTCCACAGTATGCTTTTGTGTTTCGTAAAAAGGCAGAATAACATAAGGCGGGCAGGATTAAATTAGCAAAAGGAAGAGCCTACTTTAATGTGCTAGCTTTTATACATTGGGCTTATTGCTTATCCTGAAGAGAAAATTTTGGCAAATAACAGCTTTCTCAGCGATTTCAAGGTTTGACCTTCCCTCTGCCTTGATTTGGGTTTTCTGGGGCTAAAGCCTTGGGACTAGGGCTGGCTTGGCTTCTTGGGTGTTCAGAAGGGCCCAAAACTTGGTTTAATAATCTGCGCGTAAAACTGGCGTCGTATGATATAAAGGTGAACGGTAAAATTCATGCTAATAATTTACATTTTTAATTTTTCTTAGAATACATTAAACAGCAAATAAAAAAACACCATGACAAGTCGAGAGAGACCTCAGAAGAAAGGAGAAAACTTTATGTTTTAGTACCTCTAACGACACTTTTTTCCTGCTTTTCAGCAAGGGGCCCCGCATTTTTCATTTTGCTCTGGGCCCCCCAAATTAATGTAGCTGGCCTCTCTCATTGTAAATGTTTTGCGAGTGAATAACATTAACTTTGAGGAGAATGAATCTTTCGCCTCTGAGAGGTTGGACTAATTTATTAGCATATATTCCTCTGAATTGGAATGCTGGAGCTCGAGTGGGGTTTTTTATTGAAGAGAAATGAGAGTCATTGGTGAAGCATTGTAGGCTCTGGAGTCCACCACTTATTAAGAGTCATAGCCTCGGGCAAGTTCCCTAACCTCTGTGAGCTTTCAGTTTTCTCGTCTTTAAGTCAGGGATTGTTACAGAACATGGAGGGTCGTGAGGATTAGGTTCATCTATTCATCCAACAAATATTTATTAAGCAGTTGTTATGTGCCAAGTGCTGTTCTTTCTAGGTTCTGGGGATACAACAGTCAATGAATCAAAACAAAACCAGACAAGAAAGAGAAGCAAACAACAGCAAAAGTAAGCCTATATCTCCATTTAATATACTAGAGAGAAAATAAAGCCAAAAAGGAGAGCAGGGATTTTCTGGTTGATGGGGTAGGTCAGGAGTTTTTGACTTTAGAGAGGAACGAGGAAGGCCTCACTGAGATGACACTGGAGTAGAGACCTGAAGGGAGCCGGATATGTGGACTCAGAAGGTGATCCTTGCAGAGGCCCTAAGGTGGGCAAGTGGCTGGTTTTCCAGAAACAGCGAAGAGGCCAGTGTATCTGGGGCAGCGTGAAGAAGGGGGAGAGTAATGGGAGATAATTATTATTCCCCTTTTAGGAATCACTGGAGAAGCTCTTATAGTTCATCTTTCTATGGGTGTATGTCGTACTGCTGTTGGCCCAAACGTGGAAGGCCTTTTCAGAATTAGAAATTTTAACTTTGGAAATAAACTAACTAGAAAAGGCAAGATATTTTTCTCAGGTTTTCTGATTTTAATATAAGACCTTTAAAGCTCATCTGGCTGAATCATTGAAGCAAATAACAGATAGAAAATTTATTCTTTGTCTCTGAAAAGATCATTAGATTTAGTTAATGATTCTGCATCATTTAAAGATTTACAGGAAATCTGTATCATAACATCAGGACCTTCCAAAAGATTTAGTTTAGCTGTATAATTCTTGCAGAGCACTAAAATGTTAACAGTACAGTATTGATGATTTCATGTTAGGATATAGGTTAGAAGATTTGGGGTTTTATGCCCCAATAGAGGCTTTTCCTAGAATTCTCACTGGATCCACTCTCTAAAGGCTAGGGAAGCTGTTTTCCATGACATCACTCTTGGACTACTTCTACTTGTAGTGAGGAATAAGCAGAGGAGCATTAAATTGAAATCTTCGGATGAAAAAATAGCATTGAAGCAGGAGTTTTTTTCTTATAAGGTTTCTTGTATTATAAGATGACTAAATGCTAAACATACCTGAAAAGTGAAGTAATTTGGATAATAGGTGCCAACCTGGAGGCTGGAGGCCCCAGAGCCTTCCTAAAAGCTTAGTTAAACAGTCATTTGCAATTTAGTACTGAGTTATAAAAACATTTTGATGGACAAGAAAGAATTTCCAGTATTAAACAAATTAAAGTTAAGTTATGCAGCCTTTCCTCCTGTATTAAACTGAGTTGTTTCTGAATTTGAGTAGTGTATCTGAGGGGAAAACGACGACTAATAGAGCTAATAAAGTTAGTCTGTTTTCAAATTTTTCTTTTCTTTTAGATTGAGAAGTTGGCCGCTTTGAAATTGTTGAATTTAAAATTTTTACTTTATAGGTTACAGAAATTGTGAGACATTTTATGACTCAGAAATTAATTCTATTTTTATCCGTAGTAAGCCTTGCATTTTCTTTTTAGTATGCAAGTATGGCATTTTCTGCATAGGCATTAACTTTGGTAGGCTAACAGTTTGAGGATGAAGGTAGTATGAAATAATTTAAATTTTTCATTGAAGATAAGTATATCAACCTCTGAGAATCTAGCTTTTGTGCTGAATAACTTAGGATTTTGTATGAATTTTCAAGCAGCTGTGGGAGGAATGTGAAAGCATTAAATTATTGCTTATGGCGTAAACATGGAGGTTAGTTGATTTTGAAACATCTTCTATTTAATTGCCTAGAATTTTGCCTTCAAATCAGAATGGCAGCCTTCTAACTGAAAAGGAAGCATTTAATTTCTTTGCCTTTAATTTCCTGTCCAATTTTACCCCCACCAGACTTCTTTCTTTACTGGTCACTAGAGAGTTTGAACTGTTAGAAATTTCTGTGATATAAATAGCAGTAATAGTCTTCCAGGGCAGAGGTAGGAAGAGGTTGTTTTGTGTGTGTGTGTGTCGTCATTTATCTCTTGTTGTACTGTCAGTGGTACTCAAACCTTTTGGTCTCAGGACCTTGTTATACTGTTAAAAATTATTGAGGTCCCACAGAGCTTTTGTTTATGTAGGTTGTATCTGTTTATGTTTACCATAATAGAAATTAAAACTGGGAAATTTAAAAAATACTTGTATTCATTTTTAAAAACCCATTACATGTTAATCTAAATAATTTTTTTAATAAAAAATAACTGTTTTCTAAAATAATGAAAAACTTAGTGAGAGGAGTGGCATCGTTTTACATTTTTGCAAATCTCTTTACTGTCTAGCTTAATAAAAGACAATGGGCTTCTTATTGGTGTCTGCATTCAGTCTGTTAAGATATCACACATGTAGTCTCTGGAATACACTGAGAGAATGAAAATGAAAAAGACAAATAACTTTTTAAATTAGTATTATGAGAATAGTTTTGACCTGGCGAAGTCGTTTTAGGGAACTAGGACCCCAGTTGTTCCTGGACCACACTTTGAGAATCGCTAATCATTCTTATGCACAGAAATGTGACGCTTTCTTTTTTCTTTAGTCAGTGCCAAGTTTGTGAAATAAGACAAATTCTTCAGTTTTTCTTTCCTAGTAGTATAGGTATGCTTTGTCATTTAGTTTAAGTTGATTCCCCTTTTGAAAAAAATCTACCATTTGAAATTCTGTAAGCCAAGTGTAGAATACATACGTGTACAGGTTTATAAACCATGATTTCCCTTAATCTGACGAT